GTTAACCTCAAGTTAACCTCAAGTTAATCAAGTTAACCTCAAGTTAATCAAGTTAACCTCAAGTTAATCAAGTTAACCTCAAGTTAACCTCAAGTTAACCTCAAGTTAATCAAGTTAATCAAGTTAACCTCAAGTTAATCAAGTTAACCTCAAGTTAATCAAGTTAACCTAAAGTTAACCTCAAGTTAATCAAGTTAACCTCAAGTTAACCAAGTTAACCTCAAGTTAACCAAGTTAACCTCAAGTTAATCAAGTTAATCAAGTTAATCAAGTTAACCTCAAGTTAATCAAGTTAACCCCTCACCTAACTTGGAGGATATGCCACGCTTGTGAGGATTATCTTTGCAGCGGGGGAGCAATTTCATCCACCTGCTGGTGGTGGATGAAATTGCTCCGTGCTCTCCAGGATCCGTCGCTGCACCTCCTCAGACAATAAAACCTTCTGTTCTCCTCAGTGTAACTCCTGCTGGACTATGTGGCACCAAAAACCTTAAACTTCATTCTCTGTTCAGTTCCCGTCCTGAAAAACACTCCTCTCTAAAACTACGCTCACTGTTCAGTCCCTCAGGGACGTCGAGACAGATTTCTGTAAATGGACGTGGAAGCTCTGATTCTGTTCCTGCTTCTGCTCCGACTCGTCTGCACGTTAGTTCTGACAGCTGCTAGTTATCCTTTAACACTAACCGGTTAATCACCCTGTCTGCACTTTAACATGCTGTTTTAGTCTTTTGAGCACTTATCCTTTAACGTTTTGTTTCTTCCACTTTTCTCTGTCCTCTTTTGTCTGCCTCACCCGTGTTGTCCTTCAAAGGAGCCTTCTGAAAAGTGTTGAGGACGAGTTGTTCCAACGGTAACACTGACACTGTCTGTGCTGTAGCACCTCACACCAGTTCACCCGTTGCTTCGTCACTTCCATTTTCACATCGGTGTGAATTCAATAATCCCTCAGTGACACGTTCTAACTGCTGCCATGTAGCAAGACGTGATCCTGATCTTACAGTCCGTACTTCAAAACTCACGATGAGTGAGAGCACGACCGTTGTTCCTGTCGTGTTATGATCCACGAGGGTTGGGTGATTGGACGACTGCATCGGCCATCTGCAGCTTTAGCCCTTTTTCTTATTTCAGCCGAATCACTGGTCGGTTCAGGAGCTGTAACGTTAAAATAAACGTAGGAGTCGAACTGTAGCCTGAACGAGCTGTAATTCACACAAGATCTGCACTGTAGATTTGTCTAAATTAAACTATAAAAAAAATTGGTAATAGGACTGGGAGTGGTGGCGCAGTGGTTGGAGAAAGTGGGCCTGTGATCGGATTGTCGCCGGTTCAACTCCCTGTACCGACAACATCAAAATGTTGGGGCAAGGTGAAACAGTCACACCTGCCTCCACCCTCTTTTGCCCCACTCTGGGCCCTTGAGCAAGGCCCTTAACCCCCACCATCTGTTCCCCCGTGCGCCCTGGATGGCAGCTCTGCTCCACACAGAGGGCGGTGGTAGCATCAGGAAGGCATCCGCCATAAAAACAATCTTCAAGTCTTCGTGCGAGTTACTTCACTACGGCGACCCCTGAAGAAGGGAGCAGCCGAAACATGAAATAAAGTAATAAAATAAGACAAATGAGAAGTTGTGGTTTGAAAAACTTTAGAAAGAATAGTCAGTTTTTCATATCGTAAGGAACCGTGAGAGAAAAAAAAATCACAGCTTTGTGTCTAAAACTACTTCCTGTTGGCTCTAAATTTTAAATAGACTTAAGTTTTAGGATCAATTGAGACAAAATTTGAGCACGAAGAGTTAAAAACAACAACCTGGCTTCACTTTGTGATTGAGGTGCACTTTCTGATCACTCGCGCTCGTTTCATACTTCTGTCGGAAGCCGAACGGTCGGCTCGTGATCACGTGGCTGTGAGACGCTCGTTTTCTCACGCGCCTTTCAAAGTCCACGAGAAACACGGCGCAGAGCTCCTGAGAAACCCCTCCCGCTGCAGTGCGGGTCACGGCATGGGTTTCTTCTTGCCAGGGTCTCCACTTCCTCCTTGCAGTTGCCGTTTGGCCACAAGAAATGGTAAACGGACTGTACTTATACAGCACCTTTCTATCTTATCGAGATACTCAAAGCTCTTTACAACAATCTGTGTCATTTACCCATCCATACAGCTCTATACTAGATCTCTACAAAGATAATTGAACAAATCATTCTAAAGAGACTAATCAGAGCTTTATCACGTTCATACACCGATGGGACACGCATCAGAGGAATCGAGGGGTTCAGTGTCTTTGACATGTGGGTGCAAACTGTCAGGTCAGGGATCAAACCTCCAACTCTCATAGGAGGACGACCGCTCCAACATCTGTGCCACAGCTGTCTGATCAGTATGTGGGGTTAATGATGCCGCGACGCGTCATGGCAGCGTTCATCAATCACTGCAGCCTGCCTGGAGCTCCTGATGTCCGCTCAGATCTGACGTATTTCATGTGAAAAGTTCAACCTAATCCCAAATCAGTGACAAAACAGACATCTGCTCCTTACAAATGAAGACAGCATCATAAAATAAACCATTATAATAAACTGTTTGGTGAATCGTTGTTTGTTGGACTGTTGATGGCTGATGAAAAGGCTGGTCCGTCACCCAACCCCAACGCCCGTTTGGAGCTACCTGAGCGTTCGTCTCCGTTCTGATTCTTGTATTATTCATCTGCAGCGGACACATGGCCCATCTGGAAGACGCCTTTGAAGAAGTTGAAGTGTAAGTCTAGTCAAAATCAACTGTTCATCTTTGATGTTTAACTAAAATTGTAAAACAATAAATGTTTGAATTTCAGGTCGACACTCAAGCCGTGTGCTCCTCCTCCTCTGCCCCCGAAGGTACGGCTGTTTTTATTGGAAACTCCCTTTAGTCTTACAAGAAAACAAATCGTTTTTCTTTCTTCAGCCGCGGATAAACAGCTCGTCGGAGGAGCTGGGGCTAAGCGAAGAAAAGTCCCTGACCATTCGCAGTTTCTCCAACCCGGTGAACGGGCCGAGCCAGGCGGGCCGCCGGCAGAGCACGCCCGAGCCGGGCTACAAGGCGGAGAACTCGTCTTCTAATTTCCTCTCAGTCAGCGTCAGCAGCCCGGGCATTTTGTCTCATGACTCCGATTCTGGTGAGCACAGATGGCTCCAGCACCGAGTTGAAGGTCACAAATCAAGGTCAAAGTTGAAACACGGTCTTTGCTTGTCCCGCTCATGACTTATGCTGCGCTCAAGAGAATTTATCAAAACTTCATACACGCATGCATAATCACTACACGGAGCCTCTCGTACATTTTTCACAACCCCAGCTCTAAGCTAAAGGTCACAAATCAAGATCAAAAGTTAAACAGGGTCTTTGCTTGTCTGAGCCGTTGCTGTAGTTAGTCGACAGGTGTATAATACAGTGGTTCCCAACACTGGTCCTTGAGGAACACCGCCCTGCATGTTTTAGTTGTTTCTCTGCTCCAACTCACCTGATTCATTGATTTAATTACTTCAAGTTCTGCAGAAGCCCATTAATCACCCGTTCATTCAAATCAGGTGTGTCAGAGCAGGAAACAACTAAAACATCAAGGATGGTGTTCCGCAAGGACCGGTGCTGGGAACCACTGGTTTAATGTGCTGTACTTGTTTAATTTTTGAAGTTTTTATTTTAATTCTATTTTATTAGAAATGTTCTGCGTTCATTTATGTTTGGGTCTCGTTGTCGTAAATCATCTTGTTGTTTAACATTTTCTGTTTTTACAAGCTCCCATTAAAAGTGAATCTAAAGGTAAGGGAAGACAAATGGGTCTGATATTTGTATTTTTGCATTCTTTAGATTTTACATTATTATCGATGATAAATGGGGGCGTAACGAGACAAATCTCTCGCGTAACAATTTCTAACATTGTTAGAAAAATGCTTTTGCTGCAAACTGATCAGACCTTAAAAGGGTTAAATTCAAGCTGCCAAAAATCTTTTTATTTAATTAAGACTTAATATTTTTGTCTTTTTTCTCAGCACCTTCTTTTAAACTGAAAAAAGGAAAATGCCGTATAAACAGGTTTTAAAATAAAGTTTGATCAGCAAGTTTCCTCCACTCAGATGAATTAACGAGCGCGTCTAACTTCATGTTCTCAGCTTCACAGTGAACACGTTATTGTGTGACCTTTGAATCTCATTACGCCTCTAATGAAACCACTCGGACGTAATCTGACCCGCCTCTTTCCCAACAGATGATTCAGACGGAGGGGATAATGGCGGCGGTACCAAGCCGCCGCAGCAGCATCGGAAAGAGAAAAGGGAATTTCCTGTGAGTTTGAAAACAGTTCACATCATCATCTTCTGTAGGAATTAACTGTCGTTTCATTGGTCTTCAGAATAAAACCATCTGTGGTGCCGGGCCCAATAAAGCCTGACCTCAATGAAACTGCATTTACATCTTTTTCCTTTAGCAGATCCAAATTATTTTGGTTTAAAATGATTTTTGACATCCAGTTGTGATCAACATTCGACCCAAAACCAGTTCCTGTTGCTCGTCTTTTATGGCTCATTGTTGGGGCTCGAGCTAAGTTTCTGATTTCTTTTTAAAATGGTTCTCGTTGCTTTGTGTGTTCATCTTTATGTTTCCTCTGCTCCTCCTCAGAAACCAGCGATAAACGGCCTTCCTCCCACTCCTAAAGTGCTGGTGAGTGAATCGCCTGCAGTCTTGGCGCTGGTTTTATAGGCCCTGTCATTAAACTCATCCGAGCTGCTGCTGCACATTCTGCGCATGTTTGGGGTCTGCAGAGTTGTCTGCTCTGCGGTGCGGCTCAGTAAACCCTGACGTTTAGGTGCCAGAGCCTGTTCTGAGCTGCTTTGTGTTGCAGATGGGAGCCTGTTTCTCTAAAGTGTTCGATGGATGTCCACTGACCATCAACTGTGCCACCTCCTGGATCCACCCAGACACCAAAGGTGCGTTCAGCCTTCTACACATGCACATATGGACAGACAGAAGATCTAATTAACCACTGCACAGATTTTAGCAACGCTTTCAGGAAATATTCATGGAATAAACACATTTAATGAATTGCCAGGACCAACTCGCATCAGAAAACACTCAAAACAATCCATGTCAGTCTTACAGATATCGAGCTCGATGTGGTAGTAGCTGAGAGTCGTTCACAACTCGGACTCTGAGCGTAACTTTATTTTTGAGGTTTGATCAAAATGACTCCATTTGGCAGCATGAGATAATCTTAGTTTAAAACTTTGACACGAACTGCAGCGGGTTCAATGAGTGTTGGTCCTTTAACGACTTGTTGTTGAGACGATGCTAAATTAGAAATCAATGTTCTTCTAGATCAGTACCTAATCTTTGGAACGGAGGAGGGCATCTACACGCTGAATCTGAACGAGCTGCACGAGGCCACCATGGAGCAGGTAACCTCAGCTGGAACCAAGTCCAGTCTTTGCTTCTCTGGGCCATAACTTCTCATCTACTCGATGATTTAATGAAACTCCATACGTGTTTATACCTCCACTAGACGGCGTGACAGTTTGTCATCACTGGGCCTGTCCAATAAACAGTAAATCAATTAATCGCATGATAAATGAAAATTATCAACCTCATTTTCATTTATCGGCTTTATCGTTTCTTCGTGTCTCTTTCTACTGAAGACACTGGACGACAAAATGCTCAACTCCAGTGCTCTTCACTGACTCCTCCTTTTCTCTTTAAAATCTGTTTTAACGATCCAAAATCACGTTTTTGGATCGTTAAAAGCAGCTAAGCTGAGAAGCTAAGCTACGAGCTAAGCTAACAGGCCGACCTCGGGGAAAAAACCTCCGTCTTGTCGAAGCTCCAAAATTCACGGTTGAAACTCGTGCCTTCGTGTAAAAAGTTGTTTTTCTCTGCAAAAAGAATCTGAGAACTTGTTTACTGATTTTTTTTATTAAAAGCTTTGTGCGACAAATGCTAAAGAGCTCAAATCACACCGAGGGTCCACCATTTTGAGAACTGAGTAAAGGAAAAGAGACAGCCCATGTCACGTCAAGGGGCCTCCCTCCCATTTTTCTTAGAGACACTCCGCTCGCTCCCTCACTATCCATCCTTCGGTTCAAAATACTGCCATCTGGTGGCCCGAGAAAGGTACTACATGCAAAACAAATTAACATTTCTTCTTAAATTATAGAATAATTATTAATTATTGTCAAATTTCAAACAATATTATCGTTTATCGCAATAATTTCTGAGACAATCTATCGCCCAGTAAAATGAGTTATCGTGACAGGCCTAATTGTCACTGCAGCTCCAAGGTCCAAGTTTAGACGAGGTCTTTTCTTGTCCGAGCCACGGCTGTAGATGTCTGTATGACAGTTTGTCGTCTGCTGAACTCTTCTCTTGGTTCTGTTTACAAGTATAAAGATGTCCGGGCGTGTTTCTGAGCGCGGAATAATCCAACGAAATGTTGGAATTTAAGTCCGCCTCTGCACGGAAACCTTAATTTTCTTGTTTTTAGTCTCGTCTTCAGAGCTGATGGTAAACGAGGTGTTGATGGTATTTTTATTTTATTTCCCCTGTTAGCTTTTCCCAAGGAAGTGTACGTGGCTGTACGTTATCAACAACAACCTGATGTCTTTGTCAGGTAGGTGACGTTCTTATCACAGCCTCCTGCTTTACTGCCTTGTGTTATAACCCGCTGCCTGTTTGTCCTGTGTTATCTGGCTGCCCCTGAAGGCAGCACAGACGCCCGTGTCTTCCACCCTAAAATAACTGTGTTACGTTCAGGGCCACACGGTGACGTATGAGTGATGCACATCTTTAAAATGTCTGTTTTCCTGCTACAACACAAGACAGGTTACAGTGTTTACCAGCTGCCGAATCAGGAGAGGTTTGTTTGTTTAAGAGACGGGAAGATGAGCTCTTATTTGAAACCATAGTTTGATTTAGGACTCGTCAGAGCCTGTTTTTAGTTGTTTCTCAGTCCAGGATGGGATTACTGACAGGTCTACTTGTGATTTGACCTTCATTCTTAATCTGTTCTCTTCTCTTTCCTTCTTCACTTGGACTCTGTCCATCCTCCTCTTGCCTGGCTTGATATTCTACTAACTGGCTTCATCAGAAGGTAATCCCCCTCATCATCATCATCATCATCATCATCATCATCATCATCACACTTCTGTTTTAGTCACATCTAACCGTTGTGTATGTTAAGACTGCTTCATGGGGGAAAAGAAAATATTTCAGTAGTGCGCTCCACTCGTGACGTTATCCGTGCTATTTACACAGATGATCCCCCCCCCCCCCCCCCCTCAATGACTATGTGAAAACATATTTTTGAAATGTTTGCAAATTTATTAAAAGTAAAGAAACTAAGAGATCACATGGACATCAGTATCCAGGAAGCTCAAAACTGATGCGTTGGTAAAGGGCACGTGGCAGTCCGCCTGCAGGGTCATCCCTACAGTGAAGCATGGTGGTGGCAGCATCATGCTGTGGGGATGTTTTTCAGCTGCAGGAACTGGCAGACCCATCAGGATAGAGGGGATGATGAATGCAGCGATGTGCAGAGTTTCTGGATGAAAACCTGCTCCAGAGCGTTCTTGACCTCAGACTGAGGCGACGGGTCATCGTTCAGCAGGACGACGACTCTAAACACAGCTGAGACGTCGAGAACGACTCCGTGAAGGTCCTGGAGGGGCCCAGCCAGAGCCCAGACTTAAATCTGGTTGAAAATCTCTGGATAGATCGTTTGTGCACCGACGCTGACCTGACGGCGCGTGAGAGATGCTGCAAAGAGAAGTGGGCTGTCCAGAGATAGACGTGCCGAGCTTCAGGCTCGTTATTCAAAATAACTTTTGTCATGTCATGAGGTGCTGTGTGTAGAGGAGAATTAAAAATAAACTATTCCATGTAGGAAGGCTGTAACGCAACAAAAAGTGTAAGAAGTGAATATTTTTCCGATGCAACGTTCAGGGACAGGATTGGGGTGGCCATGTTTGGATCCTTCACCTCCGATGAAATGTTTGAAGCAGACGTAGGTCTGGTTTCACTTTTTATTATGACTCACCCCGTTGCTCAAATCCAGCAACTGTACTTCTCTGGCTGCGTCTTCAGCTTGACGACAAAGCCCCCCCTCCACGTGAGGACGATGGTTGTAACTCGAGTTATCACTGGGACTAAGCCCCAATTATTTAATGTCATTTTCCAGATTTCTTTGAGCTCGAACACTAAAACACCCTGTGGTCGGTTCGTCTGCAGTTTGCACGTCACGTGACCAGTGTTCTATAAATAGCATGAGTGAAGAGCGCTGTCATTTCTTTCAGCCACGTTTTCCCACAAACACACGTCAGTCCACTCCTGTTTGTACATTTGAAGGTAAGATGGGAAATCTTGTTTTTGTCTGTAGGGCGATCCTTCCAGCTGTACTCCCATAACCTCATCGGGTTGTTTGAGCAGCTGAAGAAGTCTGGCCTGGTGGCTCAGTTCCAGACGCATCACTTCCCTGACAAGTCTTGGCTACGGTAAGATCAAAGTCCTGAATTTGAATCTGAATCAGTCTTTCTGGAAAAAGGTTTATTTTATTTATTACCGGGCGCTGCTAAAAGCCGAAGGCGGACAATAAAAGTGGCAGACTAAAATATCTCATGAAAAAATGGGCAGATTTTAATGAAACTCCCAGGAAATAATCATTTAATGCACCTTCAGAAATAAACATTTGGAGCCTACTCTATGGTCACCTCAGCCATTTATCCTTAGAAAAAACAAAAAGACAATAATTCGGTCAGTTTCTCAGACATTGTGCTAAAATGTGATGTGGTTGTGGATGAGTCGTTCACAACATAAACTAAACGTGACATCTCACGATATTATTTAATATTTTAGAGATTTGACCATAACGGCTAAAACTCCATTGTTTCTGATCACCAGATGATTTAAGGGTTCAACATGATTTAACACGTCGGATGTAGCTGAAGTTATCGTAAACGGGCTTTTTCTCACGAAAAAGAATCGGTGGGGGAGAAATCCTGATGAATCCTCCCACTGCAGTCAGGATCGTCACAGACTACGCTGCTGTCAACGTTTATTTCCTGCTGATGAGGAAACATCAGCTGTTATCAACCGAGGAGAAACGCTGTTCTGTAAATTAGTCAACGAGTTCGCCACCAGCCGCCGGTTCTGTGCTCAAACTGTCCCATCTCCTTCCACGAGTTCTTTGACTACCTTTACTAGTTGTGTTTTACTTTCTTTTTAATTTTTGCTGGAACAGTGTCATGTCGTCTGCAGTTTCTCACAGCACCGGCTAGCAGCTCCTCAGCAGACGCTGCTCAGAGATCAGCACATCGAGAACAAACACACCCATGAAGTTCAGGGTTACCAGCGACTCTGGAAATCAAGAATTATGTATCGATGCTAGTAGTTTAGTATCATTGAGCACATGTGCTGCTGCAGGTAGTCCATTTATCCTCAATGAGTGGCTCTGGTGGCGTTTATCTGATGTTATACGATATAATTATTATTTTTATTATTATTTTATTATACATACATATATACATATATATGTGCTGTGTGCACATGACTCCGCCCGCCATCTAAGATTCTGGGTTCTTCATCAAACTGAAATATCTTCTTAAATTTCAGGATTTACTCAGGGAACACTCAGGTAATTTTATTTCCATGCGATGCTGGGAACCCTGAAGTTCTGACCAATCCCACAACGATTAAGTTTGGTTTATACCTCTAGTCTTGCGTCTTGCCTACGCGGGCGCGTGACGGAACTTTTTGTAGCTTCCTTCTGTGACCGCCTGCTGACTCCCTGTCTTGTGCATTGCCCCCAGTCAGAGCTCGTCTTGCAGGCTATGCATCGCACATTCTGTGATTCATAGCTTCACGGAACAGCGCATGCTAATGGCATGATGCATGCTACTTCTGCATGTCGTTCTGCTGAGTCTGAGAATACATTTTCAAGTGGGGAAAAAAAACGTCCATCTTGCTGTCACTGCTGGCGTTTATATGCTTAGCTATGCATGTGACGTGCGCTACAGTGGCGGTGCTTCTTCTCCTGGAGGATAAACACTCCGAGACAAAATGTGTGAAACTACAACGACAGATCCGCTGGTTTACATCTTGTTGAAGTTTAATCCAGGCTTTACTGCGTCGTGCTGTGAGAACTACGGTAGTTCTGACTGGAGGCAGCGCACAAGACGGGGTGTCAGCGGGTGCTAAGAAAGGAAACGTACAACGAGACTCGAGAATGGTCCAGATCTCATGGACTATAAATCAGCCTTTAGTCTAAAACCCTGGATTGAAAGACGACGGGCGACGTGTCTTCCTTCAGGGACTGTTTGGCCGTTTGTGAGTTAAAGGATCAGGTCACATGATTGTTTTTTATTAAACATTTTTCTACACTCTTAGTTTGTTGTTGTTGGTGTAACATCGGTGAAACAAAAAGACCAAACATGCCGACACCCCTGATTCTAGACGTCAGTACGAGGTGTGGCCGTCACAACTTCTTTCTTTTTTCTCACCCCCTCAGGCGATTTGCTTTGACGACAAAGATCCCCGACACAAAGGGCTGTCATAAATGCTGCATCGGTGAGTGGCCTCTCCTCCCAACCACTCTTTTATTTCCCCAGTTATTCGTTTCATGAACCCATCCCAAATACACATCACAAACACGCGTATCGTGCACCCCTCAGATTTATGAATGAACGCTGAGGCCAGTTTTATGTCCAACTGAAACACGGACATGTTCTTTCCTTTGTCCAGTAAGAAACCCGTACACGGGCCACAAGTACCTGTGTGGGGCCCTTCAGTCTGGGATTGTCCTGCTGCAGTGGTATGAGCCCATGCAGAGGTTCATGCTCATAAAGGTCAGTTTGTTTCTCTTCCAGTTAAACTGTTTTATACATTTCTCAACTACTAACATGTTTTATCTTCATTCTATCATTCCTTTAACATTTAAGTAACCCGAAGCAGACATGAGAGCAGCGTGAATATGAAAAAGCAAAGAAACCTTAGGAAATACAAATAAATCTATAACTTAACAGATTTTACACGTTTTGAGTTACAGTTTGGTGTGGATGTAGATGAGCATAATCACCTTCACACGAGTGCCTGAACAGTGGCTGAAACTTGGTTGTATAAGAAAACATAAACAGGACCAGTAATCTGAGACAGATTTAAAAGAGAACGTTGTTTTAATTCATTAAAAATGCTAAAGGCTGGCTAAAAGATAAAAGTAACAAAATGTTGGCTAGAGCGTAAAAGTATCATAAAGTTATAAGTAACTAAAAGCTAAAAGAAGCAAAAAAATGGCAAAAGTTCATAAAATAGTTGCTAAAGCTAAAAGTTTCACAAGAATATACCGTACTTGCTGCTGTTCACGTCGCAACGCCGTATAAGTCACATCAGTCCAAATATGTCTAATAAAGTGGGAAAAATCATAAATAAGTCGTTTTGCCTTAAAAGTCGCATCTATTACGTCGCGTTTGTTACAACCCGGAAATGTGGGCCGGTGTTGTGCCAAAAATTGATAGGCTGCCAAATGGTGGCCACGGGGGCGTGCACGGGAGGACTTTAACAAGAATTTAACAAGATTAACACTTGAAAACAATTATTCGTTTGCTCGACATTATAATAAAGGTGTGTCTCAGTTGAACTTTTACTTAATAAATGCACTTTAATGGTCAAATCTGCTGCATTTCGTCGGGGCGGTGCAGCGAGATGAAGCTGATTTGACGGTTGCGCCAGGAGTTCCAGAGCGAGACGAAGGTGGCTTGGTATGGCAAGCCAAGTGTCTCATTAATAGCCACCTGTTAATGAGACACTTGGCTTGCCTTATTAGTCAAGTGAAAATGGTAGTGTGCAATATTTTCCATGTCAGAATTAATAAACTCATCAGTTCTCAGCCAAAAATTGTTTATAAATATGAGGGACAAACGTATATTAGTCACTTCGGTGTATAAGTCGCAGAACGTGCAAATTTATGCAAAAAGATGCGACTTGTACGGCGAAAAATACGGTAAATAAATCCAGTAGCTGAAGCAGATTTCAGAGAACAATAATTCTGAAGGCAGTGGAAAGATCTGTGTGTTTTTATGGATAAAATACATGTAAATAAATGTACATGTGTTTGCTTACGATGACGTCATTAAATGTGATGCCTTCAGTGACCTCATCTAGTCACTGAATGCATCACAGACATCCTCTGTTTTCTACAGCACCCTCAGCTCCACTCCTGCGGGGTGATGGGAAATAAAATCAGAGAAAAACAAAATGTGGGCGTTATTGTTTTTAATTTTTTACAAAGAATATCTTCTGTCCATCATGGGGAGGGCCAGTTCGAGCTGCCGCTCAGCGGACGGATGAATACGTTACAGCTCGTAATTCGTTATAAAACACACGGGTCAGGTCACGGATCAGGTCACGGATCAGGATGTTGGCAGGTCGTTGTTCCCTGAAGAGGGGGAATTAGAGTCCGTCCGTGCATGTTGTGAGGATGATAACTTGAAAAATAAGCAACGCACCGACTTCCATTTTGGCGTGTGGCTACAACTAAACACAAAAAAGCTTCCTTTCAAAAACTGGATTTCCACGTCAGTGTTCAAGATGGCTGCCACTGTGCATGCATGTTTCTGGTTTTATTTTGCTTAAAAGTAAAGTTTCCTGAGATGATTGTGGTGGCATTAAATTGTTTTTACAGACATTTCAAACTCCAAAGATTTTCACTTAATATCAGCTGTTTGTTGACAGTCAGAAGATAAAATGTAACCAGTTTTGTTTTATATCATTAAGAGCACATTCTGCTTATGCTTTGTTCATTTTAATGGCCACTACCTTACCTCGTCTTACCTTTACAGGTAAAAATGTAATGACTGCAGTTTTTGATGTTGTTTTTATGACGTAATCGTGAAGAGTGGAGCTGCAGCATGAACTCTCTGTCCCTCAGCTGTTTAACGCTCTAAAGCTCCTCCACGCTCGGAGACTGAACTGCAGCAAGATCAAACTGAAGAACGAGTTCTCGTTCGATCAGAAGCATTTGGAATATATTTTGTTCTCCCGTGCATGTGCAGGTTTCCTCCCACAGACCAAAAACGTGCATGTTAGGTTTGCAGGCGACTCAAGACTGTGCCTAGGTGTGAATGAGAGTGAATTTGTCTCGTTTGTCTCTGATGAACTGGAGACCTGTCCAGGTGTCCACCTCACTTAGAGACTGCTGGAGACGAGCACCAGCCCCCTAACATGCACAGAAAATAAAATGGATGAATGTTTTGTATTTGTTCATTATAGTTCTTTGAAAGAAATTTGCATTGGAAAAATTGGTGTCACAGCTGTTTGAATAATGAACATCTGTATCGACCCCCGAAACTGGAATGGGTGTGTCTCTGCTTCAAACTGGATTAACTGCACTGGTAGACGGGATCTGCTCAAGTTGTTTTCTTTGTGATCTGTCAACACGAAGTTAAAAGTCTTCGTCTGTCTTTGACTTTTTACCGGGCGCAGCACTTTGACTTCCCACTTCCAAACCCGCTGCAAGTGTTCGAGATGCTGGTTGTACCGGAGCAGGAGTATCCTCTGGTGTGCGTCGCCATCAGCCAGGGTACAGAGCCGGGCCAGGTGGTCCGCTTCGAGACCATCAACCTCAACTCCTGCTCCTCCTGGTTCACAGAAATGGGAACGAGTGAGTCAAACGTTCACTTCAAGTTTGTTGCCATCATTTCAATGCAGCCAAATGTTTTTAAACTCTGCGTTTTAATGAGAAGTCTTAACGGACAGCGTTCCAGGCACAGTTTGAGTTGTTGTGTGATACAAAACATACGTGCAAATATAATGGAAAAGGTGTTTTAGGATATTAGTTGTGTTAAAATATCATGAGAGTACAAACTACAGACAAGAGTGAATGAAATGACAGGACACAACGCAAACATTTAGTATTCTATATTCTATGATATTATATTTCTAAGTATTATCAGAAAATACTTAGACCGTGTAATTTTTATACACCCGTCCAAGGTGGGACATATTATTAGTCATTGTCCGTAGAAAAACCTTGTCTTGTCCCACCCATAACTTCTGATCTGCTAAAGATAATTTAACAAAACTTCATGCACATCTGCATCATCACTGGACGGAGTGCTGAGTAAGTTTTCATCCCTCTTGTCTCATCATTCTTTCATAACATACTGATTTGTTATTTTTCAGCCCTACAAGTTCATACAAACCCTGGCTGCCAAATATTATTGTGACTTTATTGTAATCTGTGCTACATTGAATTATTTAGAGTGTTAAACAGAGTTGTCAGAGTTGCACCTTGCCTCCTCTCAGGTAATCGGCAAGTGGATGCGATCCACGTCACGCAGCTGGAGAGGGACACGGTGCTGGTGTGTTTGGACAGTAAGTTCAGCTTCCTGTTTCTGCTCGGTTCAAATGTGCCTTTAACTGTTTTCATCATCTCAGGTGGCTCCGTTTTAACAATCAAACTTCTTCCTCAGAAAATATCAAGATCGTTAACCTCCAGGGCAAACTCAAGTCCAACAAGAAGTTGGCTTCTGAGCTCAGCTTCGACTTCTGCATCGGAGCGGTCGGTAAGTTTTCAGACGAGGAAAACGGTTCAAAACGTTTTCAACAAGTGTTTCTATGTCCTGCCCTCCATTTTTAATACCTGCAGAAGTTCCACTTTAAGTTCTGTTTGGTCCGATAATTGTTATGTTAAACGGACTGCAGTGGCCACTGATGGCTCTAGGCTAGATTTGCAGCTGCCATCTTGCTAGGTGCTACATGCATCACTGCCTGCTTTACATTAGCTGCTTCGCCATTAAGTTCGACTCCACTCAGCCTCGTCTTCTCGGTTCTTCTCAGGTGTAGGTGATTGTGACTTGTTTCCCCGCTCTGTAGGTGAGATCGTCACTGCTCGTTGTGTTCGAGCCACTCCGCTCGTTGTGGTTTTTAATCGTCCTGTAATCAGACTAATAATCGGCACTGCTTCTAAGTCCGGGTGTAGCCGTGCTGTGACATCATCTCTGATATCTTTATGTAAATGTGTTTGTTTGTTGTAGCGTCGGCTCGATCAGAGGAAGTGGAGGTTCAGATGTATTTTGCAGTTTTGCTGAGTGGGTCATCTGGTGATGTCGCTCAGTTGGCCAATCAACAGCTGCTGTCCGCCTGCGTAAAAATGTTCGCCTCAAAGCAGTTCGTTTGAAACCACGAACAAGATGGTCCCAGAAACCGGACTGAGTAGGGTGGTACCGGCACTGGGCAGGAATGTAACTGAAGCAGAACTGATGAGAGTTGAGTCGGAGGCAAAGCGCCATTTAACACGTTGCGTGAGCTACATGCTGTGTCATCGGTCTAAACACTTAAAATGGCCCCATTTCACTTTTAATGAAAACATCAAATGCAGTGTTTCTCCTACCATTATACAAGGAGGGCACCCTGCCTACAGAACCGAACCGTCCTTCCTCCCCATCGACAACTAGCTCTGATGTAGCGCTAAGCTAGCTGCCCTGAGCGCTTGCCTAGCTACAGAGGTAGCGCTCTGTTTTCTAGGATGTGTTTCCCCCTGGATGACTAATCTTGGCGGGGCGCTCATTTCTTCCATTATCTTTGATTTTTATCAACCTGGAATGTGTGGGGGGTTGCGTCTGTGTTTGTACCGACCGTTTCGGGGGTGAGGGGGAGACTGATCAGTTTGAGGGAAGCAGAGCGCTACCTCTAGTTTTTTAGCTAGCGCGTCTGTATTGCTACATCAGTGCCGGCAGATGTTGATGTGGGTGGGGGTGACAGTTCTGTTCGGTAGACAGGGCGCTGGGTTCTGTTAACCGGGCGGGGCGCCCTGCTTGTATAATGACAGGAGAAACACTGAACAGAGGAGAAAAGGCTAATGAGCTTCCCAACAAACTCATGCTGTGATAAACAAGTGCTACAAATAAAGTCATACAAAGTATTTGACTCATACTTTTAAAGAACAAAGGTAAATGCGTTCCACTTTGAAGTTCAGGTTCCAACATTTATAACGTTTAATGACAAAACTTTGTGCTTCTTGGCTGATTTAGTGTTTTTTCCTCAGATCTTTGTGGTCTGCTGCTGGCTGCAACTTAAAGGTGCCGTGAAGCACCTACCAAGATGGCAGCACACGTTTTCACCTCGTCTGCATAAACTGTACTGTGGTTGTGTGTGTTTTTTATGTTAATCTTACTTCACAGTTTTCAGTTTTGGGTGTCTTTGGTTTAAAATGATTTGTTAATTTAATTTTACTTCTTGAGTGCAGCGTTTATAAAGTCTTCACCCCCCCTGGTGATTTTGTTTTGGATGCAACCATCCGAGGCGTTGAGTACTTTGTGTAAGCGTTGTCTGCTAACATGCTAACCTGTGTGTCCTTCCAGTGTGCCTTCAGGACAGTGTCCTGGCCTTCTGGGAACACGGCATGCAGGGAAAGAACTTCAAGTCTAACGAGGTAAGATCTAAAGTACCCACTAATGAAAAAAACAAACTGATGATTTGCATCTGTTCAGCTGCTAAAACGTCCTTTAAGTTAACAAAGAATCCTTTTGTACATCCTTGTTTACATTTATCCTCCCTTTTAAAACCACTATTGGTTAAACATTCTTGATTTGTTCCATCAGTAAGAGTTTGTGTGAAACTTGTTGACACACACCTGCATGTGTGGCCAACCACACCTTCAGTTCTTGACCGTCTGTGCAGAATTCTGTTGTCTGGCTTAGTGTTCGAGTGGAGCCGGACGACGTTTCTTCTTGTGATGACTTTATTCACCTTTTCATTCATCAGTCAAGCTAAGCTGCACAGTAAAATATCAAGAGATCACGGGGAGGTGAAGCGTTCTCTTTTGATGAAAAGTGATACGACCGTCGAGGAGGCGCTCACCTGAAAGCTGGCCGGGGTCCTCGAGCGTTCGGCCGAGACAAAAAGGCATTTTCCAAGTCTGCGTTCAGCTCAGAAGTTCTCCTATAGCAAGGACTTCTGAAATGTCATGTAAAATTTATGTACGATCATAAATGCAACCCGTCGCACAACAGGGGCGATAAATTATTCATCCTTCGTCTTGTTAGGATCCTTCTGCTGAGGGGAAGGCGGTTGGGCTCGGCGATCCACGCTTGTCTCGGGTGGGCGCTCCATCGAACACCTAAGACTTTGTTTTCATTTAGACTTAAACGGATCAGGTCTCTGCCAGGCCGAGGCTTACACCTCGCAGGTGTCACCCTCCGACCCTTTCATATCTGTCAGCAAATATTCATGACCCGTCAACGAGTTTTTTAAAGGCGCTTCGTCTTTTACGCTACGAAGAGCCTCGTTGCACCTCGCCACCGGAGATGGGCAACCTTCTCGCAGAGAGGCGACGGCTCTGCGAGCCGCAGCCCGATGGGATTCATACTTTAGGTTTTCCTCTGCTTTCAGTACAACGGTCAGATTCCAGAAGTTCAACTCTGTGCTGCAGTCGGCTGGAAGCAGCAAGGTCAAATGTAAACCCTGGACAGAACAAGCGCAGCAGAATATCGTTTTGTTGGCTTCGATTGATCGCACGTCAGAGTTGATCCAAACACACTAGCATGTAAACACAGAGAGCTGCTTGGATGTGGTCTTCTGTGAACCGGGGTCGCTTCAGGGCCGTACGTGGTTCACCCTGGAGTCTGATGACCCTGGAGTTAAATTATATTGTGAAGAACCACAGTCATGTTGCTGTCATTCCTTCCTGATCGTGTTCTGGACAAACCCAGACTGGGTGGTGTCTGCAGGGACATTCAGACCTCCATGATGGAGAAACTAATCATCTCCACAGACGCATGGCTCGACACTGGAGAGCAGCTCTTCAGGAGCAGACTCAACTGTCCACCTACACCTCAATGATAAGGGACACTGCTGAGGACCAACCGGTCCAGACCGGCGGGGGGTGGGGGGTTAAGGAAGACGTTTACGTCAAACAAAAAAAACCACTGAAAACAGAAGATCTCCAAGTTCAGCGTTCTCAAACCTACCCAGAAGCGTTAGAGCTGGTTCCAGCTCAGTGAAGTCTTCAGACCGGCTCTGGTGGGGCACAGAGAAGACGGGTCTCAGTAACGAGGTCTCAGGCTGTGGGGTGCACCCTTTTATTGTCTAATTAACTTGGCTCTCGGTCATTCAAATTGTCTCAAAACAATGTCATGACCAACAAAACTTTCTGTACTAACACTACGCACAAAACAAACCAAATTATCTAGAGATCATGGAGCTGGACCCGTCAAGACTTGATGCTGGAACTGCTTTAAGGTGGCTCTCCAAGTCTACAGTTTTGGGGCTTGACTACAAATTCACAAACAGTTTTATATTTTTGAATGATTTAAATCATCTGTTGATGTTTTCATCTAGAACGGTAATATTTCTTGTTTTGGCTGAGCAGAAGGTGAGATTAGAGACGGCGAAGAGTCTCTGTGATGGTGTGGAGTTGTGTTTTCTACCCCCCACCCCACCGTGTCTTCAGATTAGCTGACAAGTCTTCATGTTCTTTCTTTCTAGGTGACTCAGGAGATTTCTGATCCAAGCAGAGTCTTCCGCCTCCTCGGCTCTGACAGGTTAGTACAAACAGCTACGTCTGCTCAGCTGGGATTAACATCTGGAAAAACTAATTGGGGAAAAGAGTTTGGTTCTAATCTTATCTCTGACATCAGTTTGTCTCGGAGCATTTTAGTTATTTGATTAGATCAAGTCCGGCCCCTCCCTTGGGTCTTTGGTATCCAGGCAATGGAAAAACACAAACAGTCTGTTCACCCCTGGTGAGTTGCACTCGTGGCTCTACTGTCATGTTTGTCTCTTCATTCTTCTCTTATTGTCACGAAGACGTTGGGAGCAATCGTTTCCTGTCGCATAAGAAAAAATTCAGACCAGATCCTCTTCATGAAGGTACAGCTTCAAACGTGAATCTGTGGCCTGTTGGCGTCTTTCACACGGAGGGAACTGTGCTGAATATTTCTGTAAGTCTGGTTTTAGTGAGCTTGATCATGAAGCTCTGCTGAGCACAGACTGAAGATCTGTGGACCTCCCCCTAACATAATCTAAAATCTGCACTCCCAGATCTCTCCAGGACAGTTCTTAAACACAGAGGAGGGATTTGAAATGTTAAAAATATTTGAATATAAAGAAGAAATGGCTCCTCGTTGAAGGAAACACTCCTTAATCTGAGGGGTTAGGAAGAGTCAGGATGGTTTGAGCACGAGCGACAGACATCGTGTCGTGCTTGAAGGTATCTGGTCTTTTTTTTAACGACAGAATTTAGTTACTAGAAGCAAAACTAGAAAGTGTTGTCCAATATGGATGGAGAAAAAAAAACTTTCAATCTGAGCCCCCTGAGTCTCTTCAGGCCAGCATAGCCTCTAAATTGAACCCACATTTTAAGGCAGGCGTCTGATTGTTACAAGAACTGTAAGTTAGTTATTGTAAAACTTTCAGAGCTACCAGACGAGCAGAATTTCATAAAACATTCATGTTGGGGGAATTAATTCTTCTCGTACCAACCCCAACAATCCAGATGTCTTTAATTAGTTAATAGTAGAAGATGTTCGTTAGCTTTGGGTTCTGTTACACCTGATGGTACAGCCTGGGGGGGATTATTGCATAAAAAAGCTAAAGGGAGAAAATCTGTAATGCAGTGAAATAATCCCTTTTGAAAATTGGGTTTGGGTTGCCGTGTTAAAATCCAAAATGGCCACCACAATAAATGTTTATATATTAACCTTTTGAGTTGGATGACTTGAAAAATGAGCAACGTGCCGACTTCCTTTCAGGTTTGTAGCTGCATCTAAGCGTTTATTGCTTAAAAAATAAATTTCCACAAATGATACGGGAGCCAAAGATCAGTCTCTGGTGGCCATGACCACCCCGGGCTCCTCCACTGCTCCTGGCGGAGGATAAAATGTGTCGTGGGAAAAAAAAAGATTCCCAAAACAACCAGGTGTCGATCCCTGCCTTCACCTGTCTGAGGTTCTGACCCGTTCTGAGCTCCCTGTGGGGTGCCAGCCCCCCCGCTCTGTCAGCTGCACACTGAGAAGTGTCGGGGAGTTGGTTCTTCACATGGCGGGGACATCGGCTCACGGCATGGTGTCGATGTGCTCCAAGATGATCGGAGGTTCTGACGGATCTTCTGATTCTTCGACTCTCTGAACAACAGGCTGATGTTCACGAAACGTTTTCTGTCACGCAAAACATGATCACCCTTTGGCCTCAGCTGATCAGACACGTGAGGGTTTTGACTGAAGGGTGAACTGATGATGGTGTTCCACAGGGTCGCTGCCCTACCTGTGGCATCAGAGCGTCGCCCGCCTCCCACCAGCCCCCCATGTTTTATTCACTGGTGCCTGGGCACTGCCAGCCTGGTTTGAGTGTCTCCACAGCTCTGTAATTTCATCTACTGGACCGGACGGTACCGGCTGTAGCTCGGCTGCTCTCCTGTCACCAGCAGACAGATTGTATGTGACGATGCGCTCACCCCTGTCCTGATCTGACATCGTTGTGTTGCTTAACGTGCACGACCGTTGTCTGAACGCCGATACGTCAACGTGCCCGACACGACCCGCTGGCAGCGCCGTGTTAAAGATCAAGCTTCCTCTCTGCTCTGCCGTCTGCTTCTGCAAAGACAAGAAGGCCATCGAGTGTTGGCCCATGCAGGTTTGTAGTGTTAGCAAAATACCTCCTGAAATACTTTGTGGCTTTTAATAAAACTCTTGACAGTAATCGTTGGATTTCATCTACGGCTGATCGTTCCCCATCGCAGGGAGAACAAGGGGAATTTGAAATACCCTTTGTCTGTCTGTGCACGTTGTGTCCGTGCACGTTGTGAGCATGATCATAAAATACGTAAGGTACCGACTTCCATTTGTCGTACGAAAGGTTTGTTTTGAAAGTGGGTTATCACATTAAAATCCAAGATGGAGGATCTGTCTGGAGGACCACTAGAAGCTGCTCAGAGCTGGACGGGTGGACAGGAAGAAGACGTCAAGCCTGTGGAAGAAGGTGCTGTGGTTAGAGGAGACCACTCACACCACCTCCCATCCTGCTGAGAACTCTGTCCCTACAGTGAGGCACGGTGGCGGCAGCATCATGCTGTGGGGAAACGGGTTCAAGGGACGATGGAGCAAAGAACTGAAAAATTCTTGAGGAACTTGTTGGGAGTCTTTCAAAGATCTGAGGCGGAGGTCCTCCTTCCAGCAGGACAATGACCCTGAACACACCGCTGAAGAACCCTCCTCTGGTCCTGGACTGGTCCAGACCTCAGTCCAGATGAGGATCTCTGTCTTAATTTAAAGACCGTTGGACAGAAACAACACCGTCCAACCGGAAGGAGCTGGAGACGTTTGGACACGAAGAATGGACAAAAAGTCCAGGACCCTGGATCCAGACCTGATGTTGGAACTGATGTCATCAGTGTTTGGGGGTGAACACTTACACACGTCCCGTTTCTTAGTTTTATGTTTTTAAATGAGTTCTCATTCATTTGAAGTATTTTTAAAAATTATTAATTTTGTAAAATTAATTATAAATTACTGGGGGGGGTGGACCTGCTGTTCATGGAGGACACATCATGGAGGACACATCATGGGGGACACGTCATGGAGGACATGTCATGGAGGACACGTCATGCAGGACACATCATGCAGGACACGTCATGGAGGACACGTCATGCAGGACACGTCATGGAGGACACGTCATGTAGGACACGTCATGGAGGACAGGTCATGCAGGACACGTCATGGAGGACACGTCATGGAGGACACGTCATGGAGGACACGTCATGGAGGACACGTCATGCAGTACACGTCATGCAGGACACGTCATGGAGGACAGGTCATGGAGGACACGTCATGGAGGACCCATCATGCAGGACACTTCATGGAGGACAGGTCATGGAGGACACGTCATGGAGGACCCTGGAGATGACGATAAAGATGTTCTATCAGTTTTCTAACCGCTCGGTTAAATAACTCCATGCTTGTGTTTTCTTGCAGGGTGGTGGTTCTGGAGAGCCGACCCACGGACAAACCCTCGATCCTGAAGAACATTTACATCCTCGCGGGTCACGAGAACAGTTACTGATCCTCCTCCAGAACCAGCTCCTCTTCTCGCCGTGAGGAGCAGCTCAGTCTGGGAGGAACCTCCAGGTTTGGACCTGCAGCTTTGACCCGATTGTTGGGAGATTCGGTGCTGACCTCTGACCTCTTGAGGACCAGCGTTCATCAGGAGGCCGATGTGGACCGGACCAGCTCAAAAGAACTTTTGAGCAGAACCTGGTGTTTTTATGACTGTACTGTGAAGTGAGTCCAGTTTCCTCCAGGCGTTCTTGACTAAAGTGCCATTAAAACTCACAGTGATTGTATTCTAAACAACGGGAGAGGAATAATAGTCTTTAACCGGATCGTTACCGGCAGCAGACGGCGTGAGGTTTTACCGTGGTTCAACGCCCAGGAGCATTGTGGGAGTTAAACCAGTATTTATGAACCTCGTCTTCAGAGGGAACGTTTGGTTTCCATTCGCTGACGGAGTCACGTCATTTTTACTGCTTTGTAACGTCGTCGTCTCCGCAGCGCTTTTAGAACTTGGATATGATGTACGTCTTCTCTTTTATTGACCTTTTACTTCCTAATATTTGCACCATTTAAGCACTTTTGTACATGTTTTTTATTTAAAATAAAAAGACGAACCGAGGGGCGACGCTGGGTTTCATCTGCAGTCCCTCTGAAAAATGTTTCAGGTTCACGTTTTTTGTAATAAAAAGCTTCAACGCGGCAGCATGAGCTGGGGTTCGTGCTGAGGCGGGAGCAGCGGATCGTGGTTCTGCTGGGAGCGCTGGAGACGGGTGAGTGTTTGTTTCCGTTCTCTTCCTGTTCGGACCCGCTCCCCTCGGACTCGGCTGCTCTAATTGGTCTCAGCGTGGCACAACTCTGAATCCTGCCGTCGCCGTAAAACAGCGACAAGGCTGACTAGACCAAAACTAGATCAACGGAGGTTTCTGTGGAACTGCAGCGTGAACCAGGAGCGCCACCAAGGGGGGGCAGAGGGGGGCAATGGACACCTTAAAAACATAAGTGATGTGAACTGTAAATTAAAAAATAAAGTTGACCTGTGTGTATCAGAAGATGATTCCTTAATGTTGAGACATTTTAACAGAGGGTGTGCGTGACTATAAATCTGACAACCATCAGCATAACAATGAAACGAAAAGTGAACTGTAAATAATAATAAATAAAAGAAAGTTGACCTGCGTACATCAGAAGATGATTCCTTACCACAAATATCCAGAAATGTATTTTTGGTGCCACCCCAGCAGTTTCAGTGACCAGATTCAAAGAGAACAATACGAAGTATTTTGGAAAAGTATTTCTTTATGAAAATATGTTTAAAAGGATGGATGTTACCGATACTAAACGTTAACTACTTATTCTCCACCAAATCAAAGGTTTCAGTTTGGGTGATTAAAATGACGCGACAGTGACAACAAACAGGAAATGTTCTAAAGAGTTGAAAGTGTTTAAACGTTGCTGAACGAGTTGCGTCATAAAGTGGATGTGAACAACGCCTTAGAAAGATTCACAATAATTCTTGATACATCGTCACATCTGCTCAGGTCTGGAAACCGAAAGCCCCACAGCTCCTTACTTTAAACATAATGTTTCAAAATAAAGCTTTAAGAGACTTTAAATCATTTCTACAGGACCGTTTTTGGAGAAGCTTCAAAAATAAAACTCAGCAGCCGTCTGCCGATTGAGCTGAACGTTTCATGTCCACTCAGGCTGCAGGTTAGACGCTTACTAATGTAGGAAAGAAGAAAAACAAATCTGGTGTGTAAACAGCCCTGTTTTCTCCCTGTGGGCGGAGTCAGCTGTTACCGTGGAAACCAGAAACGGCAGGAGTGAAGGTCCCAGGCGACACACTAAACCAGACATCCGGTGGTCTTCCCCTTCAAAATAAAACCAACCACGCCTTCTGAGAGCCGTTGAAGGAAAACACATCACCCGCAGCTTTAAACTGAGCATCTCATGATGGGGGTGTTGTTTTGGTCCAACCTTGTGAATTCTGTTCCCCACAGTCTCCTAAAACTTGGAAGACGTCACTAGACCTGTCTGCACTCGGGAGTTGTGTTGAGGGCGACTTTCGGCTACTACCACGTCTAACTTTAGCTCAGTGCTTGAAGTCACCGTCTCCTGAATGAGCTGAAAGTTTTGATGTATTAACAGCTAAAATCATGTCAAAGAGCAAACAACAAAAACAGTTTAAGCTTTTATTGCTTTAAACTTTTGCTGGAGGAAACGCTGTCAAAGTGAAAACCCAAAAACAATGATTAGGTTTATCACCAGAAGATGATGTAGAGTTTATTCAGATCATTGCAGCAGAAACAGTGTTTTATTTTGAAAAGCCTGACAGGAAGTGGGGGTGACCCTGTGTGACTTGGTGCCGTGAAGCTCGCTGCAGCTGTGAGCAGAAGATCTGCGTCTGCAGGAGGACGAGGAGCTGGATCAGAACATCTGCAAACCAGTGAGTCCAAACTCTTCCTTTTATTCTGAAAATCTGATTCCTGGTACCTTGAGGGGGTTCTGCTGGTTCTGTTGGACCACACATCTGTTCTGTTGGACCACACATCTGCTGCTGTTCTTATCTAAAGTCACAATCTAAAGTTCAAAAGTCCAGCTTGAACATTTTCTTTAAATTGCTTGTGAATGAGTTGTTTTTCTGTTTCCTCGCTCCGTTTTATTTGTTCAGCGAGAGTCCGTGCAGGAAAACGAGCTCAGAGTCTGTGCAATGCAAATGCTTCATTAAGCAGCCCAACTGTGGGGAGGCAGGTGTAGTGTTCCCCCCCACCTGCTGAAGAGCTCACCTGAACATGGTCCCTGCAGGACGAGCTGCAGCCTGGCTGTTCAGAAGAACTCCATCAGTGGAGCAGAGGCTGCTGAGAAAACAGCTGAAAAGCTTTCATCACTGACGTTAACGAGCTGAATTTAATCTGCTGACAATTGTTAAAAGCAGGAAAACAGCTGGAATGTGTAGAAAAGGCTGAAAAGAGCAGATCAGCTGAAATAGAGTCTTAACGGATTACAATCTGAAATGAGCAAAAATAAAGTAGCTGTAAAAGCTCTTAAAAAGTTTAAGTTATTCTAAATTGACAAACAGATTTTCAGAAACGGATACAATTAGCAGGAAAGCACCTTTTTAGAAATGGATGAAAAACAAAATTTTGCTTAAAAAATCTGAATGGAGGATAAAAAGCTAAATAAAAGGAGGTGAAATTGGCAGAAAAAAACAGCTGAAATGAGCAGAGAAAAGCTTTAATTAACAGAAAGAAACAAAAAGGTTGCAATTATTGGAAAGAAGCAGAAAAGGTGGAAAGTGACAAAAGCTAAAAATGTATAAAAAGTAGCTGAAAAAGCAAAAATATAAAAGCTGAAATTAGCAGAAAGAAGCTGAAAAAGCAGAAGAAAAGCTGAAATGAGCAGCACCACGGCTGAAGAAGCTAAATATTTCAAAAAGTGACAATTACACGAACTCCCAAAGTCACAGCAGGAAAGTCCTGAATGAGCCGAACGTTTTGAGAAGAGAGTTGCTGAAACCGAACAGAAACTGCAGAACGAGTTCTGTGCTGAAAACTGGGCTCAGTAGAGACGAATCTTTGAAACATCGAGAAAATAAAAGCATCTTTAAACGCTGAGCCGGTTTAAACTACAGCTGCATTTATTCTGCAGTTTACCCGTTAATCACTAAAACGCTCCTCGGTCAGGAAGAGTGCTCAGACTTCAGTGTTTGTAACTTTTATATTTATTTCACTTTATTGTGTGGATGAATCTTAAATCGCTCAGACTTTTGAGATGCTGTTTTTAGCCTTGTTCTGTTTTATCGTTGATAATTTCTGCCTTTTGTGCTTTTCAATAATTAGTTTTTTATGCTGCTTTCATCTGCTTTTCTGCTGATATCAGCCTTTTTAGCTTCTCTTCAGTTAATTTCAGCTTTACGTGCTCGTTATTTTCGTGCTTTCAGCGAATATCAGCTAACCGTTTGGAGATTAAACATTTTCGGCTGGTTTCAGCTTCTTCTGTAGCTTTCAGCAAAAACATAAATGAATAAATAAAAATAGTTCAGCAGAAAACATCCACGCTGATGTTAGCAGGAAATTACGTTTCTGTTTTTCTCTTGGGAATACACTGAAATGTTTTCAGTTCCTTTACAATTTCAGCTGGTTTTGCTTGTTTTACCTCCTTCAACAAATGTTCAGCTCTTCAAGTTTTGCAGAAAATATGTTTGTAGTTCAGTTTTCTGATTTATAAAACGAGTTTTCCTCCACCTTCATGCTGAGACGTGATGGTGAAGTTGATCAGCCTCAGTCGTCCCGCCCGTTTCCTGCTCCTGAAGCATCTGTCGTGGAAAAAAGGGATTCCCAAAACAACCGGGCGTAGACTTCATCAGATTTGTTTCACAGCTGTGGAGAGAAGCCAGCAGTCACCGAAGATCGGTGCTTTCACCTGTCTGAGGTTCTGACCCATTCTCACTTCCTGAACAGAAAAACATCTGTTGTTTAGAAACAACCAGTCCTGTCTGGCTGTTTTCAGACCCCAGCTGCAGTCAGAAGCTGGAGGGAATCTGGGAACCAGCAGCTCTCAGGAACTGTAATATCAATCAGACCCGAGGATAAAAGAATGATCTCTTGCCGTCCATTTACTCACATGTCACATGAAGACGGATAATTACATAGAACTCGTGGAACATTTTAATGTCATGTAACGATAAAAGAGCAGTGGAAGTTCTGGAGCATGGTGAGTGTAAATAAACACATTCTCTTGACATCTAACACTGTTCTCCTGACAAGGATGGAGAAGTACGAGAAGATCGGGAAGATCGGCGAGGGCTCCTACGGCGTCGTCTTCAAGTGCAGGAACAGAGACACGGGACAGATCGTGGCCATCAAGAAGTTCGTGGAGTCCGACGACGACCCCATCATCAAAAAGATCGCGCTGAGGGAGATCAGGATGCTGAAGGTGACGGCGCCGTCTGCACCGAGTCCCTGCCGATCGTCACATCTCAAGTTAGAGGGGGAACACTTTGTAGAATAAAACATTTTGAGCTTCTTAGTTTTGCACCGAAGTCTCTGCTCGGACTCGGAGTTTGATTTCCCCTCGAACAAAAAGACAAAACGTTGCGTCGCGTTTGTTTTTCTACAAAAGCCGCAGTTATCAAAGACGCGCTGATGCAGTGGTGTGTTTTTAATTAGTCACGCCGAGAGCAGCCAGCTGGACAACAGGAAGTCATAAATAGACTGGTTGCCAGGGGCAACAGCATCTTTATCACCTCCTGTTTACAGAGGGGACCACAGACAGGAAGACACTTCGGCTAGTTTTTACAGATGTTTATGGTGTGTGGGTGGGTGTGTGGGTGTGTGTGTGTGTGGGGTGGGGGGGGGTAGTTTTTGTTTCAGGTTGTCTTGTATGGACCAATTTTACAAAAAAATCATGCATTGTGGGAACCAACTGCTCTTTATGGACCAAAGCCAGGTCCCTATAAGGAGAAGTCTCGTTGGGGGTGGGGTTAGGCATGTACTAGTAAGGGTCAGGGTTAAGGTTAGGGTCAGGGTCAGGTTATAGAAAGTGAATGGAAGTCAACGCAAAGTCCCCAAAAAGTATGTTTACAAGAACGTGTGTGTGTGTGTTACAGCAACTGAAACACGCCAACCTGGTGAATCTGATGGAGGTGTTTCGCCGTAAACGGAAGCTTCACCTGGTGTTCGAGTACTGCGACCACACGGTGCTCAACGAGCTGGACCGCCATCCCAGAGGGTGGGTCTGTCCCCGTCTGTCCTCACACAGAGTCCTGGTAGTCGGGTCAGTAAATTAAAGGCCGATCGTTCCTTCATGAACTGCACATCGCCCGCTGCGGGCTCGGAGTAGAGCTGCTGCTCCTTCACGTCGAAAGGAGTCAGCTGAGGAGGTGCATCTGATCAGGATCCCGTCTGAACAGTCCCCGGGGCAGACCCAGAACTTTCTGGAGCGATGGTGCATCTTCTCTGTCCGGGGAACGTCTCAGGATCCTCCAGGAGGAGCTGCAGAATTGGGGGTCTGGGTTTCTGTCCTGGACCTGGTGCCTCTGAGGCCGGGATGGATGGACAATCACTTTATACACAATGTGTCAGGACTCAGGTTCTGGCTGACTCTCAGCTACTACCACACAAGTTGTAGCTCCATGTCTGTAAAACTGACGGAGCAGCTTTTTCAAGCTTGACATTGATTAGCTGTGGCGGCCATCTTGAATTGCTTTGACTTTTACAGTCGATACGTTTTGATGAGCATCCAGTGATTACTCTGGTAGAGCTTTATTAAAATCTGTCCAGTGGTTGATGAGACATTTTGCTAACAGACATGGTCGTCAGCCAAAACATTATCGCCCTTTAGATTCTTCAATTTGTACTGATGAGATTGACATATATCCATCTAAACGATGGACCGGTGCGTCAATAAGTTTGATCAGTACGAGTTTATAAGTTTTAAATCGTCACATTTTGTTCATATTTACATTTTGAAACGTCTCAACTTTGTCGGGTTGTGGTTTTATCTCTGAGCGTACGATACGCTCCATCCAGCTGCCATCGTCTCCGAGGAGGCTGAGCAGTTCTCTGTGGCATGCGAGCCCAGATCCTCGTCCTGCTGGTCTTCAGGGAGCCCCCAGTCTGTCGAGTCCCCCCCTCCGGGTCCCTCCGGGTCCCGCCTGCAGCGAGGCTTTCAGAGGACACAAAAGAGGAGACGAAGACGCAGACACAGAGGGTGAAGATTGTAATCGTCAGCCACAAGGCTGGAATTAGTTATTGCCACAGCAACGCTGATAAACGGCTGCGCCTGAGCCAAGAGGGTGTGGGACACCGAGCAGCAGGACCGTCCTTCACTGTCGACCACAACCTTCTGAAGAACTGGGACAAAGAAAATACCAGTACAAACAATCCTGACGCTGCTCAATAATCCAGGAAGAAAGATCAAACAAAGTAGAGTCAGGACCTCTGGACAGATTCTTCTTGTTGAAACGCTTTTATCCAAAGGACTTCTTCAGTCTGAGGAGCTGCAACAGACTCAGTCTTATAAATAGCACCTTCTCATGGTGCATCAACCAGTTTGTTGTTGACATCCAGAACCAACTGTTCACATGATGGAGGTCCATCAGTCTAACAACCGATCATTAGCGCCCTGATGGCCACTTGCTATTCACTGAGGGTTGAGTGATACTATCAATCACAGCGTTGTAGGAGGGGACAGTTTAACACGGAGGCTCCGCCCCTGTTTAATGATGGACGGGTTCTCTTCACAAAGATGGCCTCCTTTACTGCTCTTTCAAACCATCGTTCCTCTCTGTCCAGGATGTGAACATCTTGATCCCTGGAAGAGTGACCTCTGACCTGGAGATGAGTGTAGACCGCAGATATTGCAGAAGAAGAATCCGTCCAGAGGACCTGACTCTACTTTGTTAGATAAACGTAGAAACCACTTTGGGTTTTGACTGATCAGTGATGTCATGAAACGGAGCTGTTGGAGCTGTTGGAGCTGTTGGAGATGTTGGAGATGTTCGATGCTTTTTATTAAACTTCATCTTGGTTTATTGGACAGTTTGCTGCTTTCTTAATATTTGGTGAATGTGTGAAGATCTGTTTTATTTTGTAGGAGGGAATCTAAAGATTTGTTTTATTTTGTAGGAGGAAATCCAAAGATCTGTTTTATTTTGTAGGAGAAAATCCAAAGATCTGTTTTATTTTGTAGGAGGAAATCTAATATACAAATATAAAACCTGAACTGATCTGCTGAAAATTCTTTCTCCGCCTTTAAAATGTTCACTGGTTGTTTGAAACTGAACTAATCTGAATCTTCTGAAACTAAATGGCTCAAAACGTCCTGATGCTCAATAATCCAGGTAGAAACACCTGAAAGAGTTCAGTCTGGTCCTCTGGACGTTCAAAAACAAACAACAAGTAGAAACGCTTCGTCTCAGACGTCCTCAGTCTGAGGTGCTGTTTTCAGCTCAGTCTTATAATTGCTCAAACTTTTTTCATTTTTTTTTGTGGTGGGGTGAAGGGGGCGGGGCCATTGTAAATATGCCCCGCCCGTCCATGTTGTTAGTAAAATAACTTGAAAAGAGAAGAAACCTTCAGAACAAAAAGTGACCGTTGTGTTTTTTGTGTCGTCAGCGTCCCGGAGCATCTCGTCAGGAGTATAACCTGGCAGACCGTCCAAGCCGTCAACTTCTGTCACAGACAAAACGTGAGTGTGCGTGTGCGTGTGCACGTTCTCCTCCTGCTTCACGGCTCCTTTTGTATTTTAACAAGAATTCCTTCCTCCTGGCTGAGCAGCAGTTAATGTTTTACTTAGACAACAAATGCTACAAGGGCCCCTTTTGACTGTGGGTCTCACAAAGTCCAGACCCCCCCCCGGGCCCTCCTTTCTTCTCAGCATCGTAGATTTGTGCTCGTCGTGGCGCTGAGACGCTGCTGCTTGTGTTCCTGCAGTGTATCCACAGAGACGTGAAGCCGGAGAACATTCTCATCACCAAACATCAAGTCGTGAAACTCTGCGACTTCGGCTTCGCCAGGATCCTCAGTGAGTCTCGGGAGCTCCTCCTCAGCAGCTGGTGGAGCCCTGGGGTCGTTCCACCGCCTCCGTGTTGGGCAGTTGGGGGTTTGAAACAATTTAAAGTGCTGCCATTAAAACTGGATGATTTAGATAAACTTTAATGTGAAGATTTTAAATAAAACTCAGTATAATTTAGATGAAGTCGCTCTGTTTTAAAGATCTACAGCTAAAGTGCGACTGTAGCCTGGAGTTGTGTCGTCCTGATCCATTTTGTGTTTTGTTCACAACCAGCGGGCCCGGCTGACTACTACACGGACTACGTGGCGACTCGCTGGTATCGGGCCCCCGAGCTGTTGGTGGGGGACACGCAGTACGGCCCCCCCGTTGACGTGTGGGCCATCGGATGCGTGTTCGCCGAGCTGCTGTCCGGAGTTCCTCTGTGGCCCGGGAAGTCCGACATGGACCAACTGTACCTGATCAAAAAGACTCTTGGTAGGATGGTTCTGGTCCTGGTGCCATAAGGTCCTCAGGGGCCACTGGAGGAAAAGTACTACTCCAGGTTCTAAGTACTACATGAAATAAAACTATAAATTAGAACATTAACAAGAACAACTCATGTAAACAGAAACACTGCACATATTTGCTCAGTGCACGCTTGTTGACATGTTGAAACTGGACGCTGTTGTTGGTCGGTGACGTTGGTTTGGTCGCCCTCTGCAGGAGAGCTGATCCCTCGACACCAGCAGGTCTTCAGCAACAACCAGTTCTTCTGTGGAGTCTCCATCCCAGAGCCACAGGAGAAGGTCAGGCTCACATCTGGCCACACCTGGACGCCCTTTGACCTCACACATTTCAGCTTCTTTTCTTCAGAAACTGTCAAACTGACATCCAGCTGCCATGTTTTCAAAAACCTCCTCCTGTTGGCTTTTGTAGGAACCTTTGGAGCAAAAATATCCAAACGTGTCGCATCAAGCTGTGGGTCTGATGAAGGTAAGACAAAAGATGTTGTGGTTTCAAACTTGGTTGGTGTGCTCCTAAAGCATGGGAGAATAACTGGTATTTAATGCTTCATTATTTTATTTTTTTACCACAGCATCCGGGCATGACCAAACCTGAAACTTTACTCCAAAACACAACTCTACCATCAAACGTCGACATAAAACATCCAGTTATCACTTTCTTGGTCTGGTGCTCAACTCATCGACATGTTTATAATTCACCACTGTTTTAGCCCCGCCCACTAACTACAGGAATTACATGTTTTAATCATGAACGTCATTCTCTGACCTGCTTTACCACGTCGTCTCGTCCAGTTCATCCATCTGTCCGTTCGTACACGTTGTTCTTTGCCTTGTTAAAATCCAAGATGGCTTCCACCTTACATGTTTATATGCAAACCGGCCACCTTGAGTGAACTTTGGTTTCTAGTTTTTCTATTGATTAAAGTATAATTTCCTGAAATGATTGAGGTGGCCATAAGATAAATCCATGGTGGCCAAGGCCACCATTTGCCACCCCCTGGCTCCACCACTGCACCTGGTGGTGGATGCGCTGCCTCACACCCTGGTCTTCTACGGTGTAACTCTTGAACCAAAACATTAGTTTTCTTGTACTTTCTGTTCAAGTCCAGTCCAGAAAAACACTCATATCCAAAACCACAAACATTCACTACGTAAACCCCTCAGCTAGGGTGGACATTAGAGTGAAGAGCGACCATCCTGCATGTTTTAGATGTTCCTCTGCTCCAACACACCTGTTTTTACTCACTGGGTGATTAACTGGCCTCTGCAGAACATAAAGAGTTAAATCAGGCGCGTTGGAGCAGAGGAGTAAGTAAAACATGTAGGATGGTGGCCCTCAAGGACCACTATTGGGACTCAAAAGATTCAGATATACTGGTAAGCTTCAGACGTGGTGAATATACTATCATGGCGTGGGGAATTAAATGTTAAGAAGTGGTGTTTTTCTCACAGCGTGTGGGCGTGGCTACACCTCAAACTGTCGACTCGCCGCTAAAAACAAAATATTGTAACTCCCGTAAAAACATCTGGTCTGCTCTGAAGTGCACACCTTTGATCTCCAAATGGTCTTCCAACATGTCTGCATGTCAAAATGCTCCATCAAGCTGAACTCGTTGTCAGATAACGGACATCAAGTTGACGGTGCTGGCTGTTGAAATCTGACTTTTTAATGGGCAGCTGGCGCTGGCTGCCATCTTGAATTGGGTTGACTTTAATGATCATATTCCAGTTGTTTGCTTTGACGCTCCTGTATATTTTCAGCTAAAATGCGACGCTGCTGTTTTTGCTCGTCCTGTAGAGCTGTCTGAGGATGGACCCGGCTGAGCGGCTGAGCTGCGAGCAGCTCCTCCAGCACCCCTACTTCGACAGCATGAGAGGACGCAGCGAGAGCTCGTCTCGGGAGCGGAGCCGGAACGTCGACAGGAGGACTCTGTTACCTCGCAGACAGCTGCCCCCGGGGGTGAGCACTCAGCCGCACACCCTCCTCCACGAGCCCCACGTTCAAAACTATAAACGCTCCTCTAAACAAACTCAAGCTCTAAAAGTTTATGGAAGACGAATGACCGGAATCAGAAATGTTTGAACACGTCTCAGTTGAGATTTATTTGGATGCTCATTTTTCTGTTCCCCTCACTTCACGTACGACTTTGAACTTTTTTTTGTCCCTCATCGTGGAGCAAAGAGGAAATCGCATCTGTCCGTCTTGTTGTGACCATGATGACTTCAAAAGAAGCGAGGGGCCGACCTCCAGGTTGGGTTCTTTCAAAGTTTGGTTGCCAAATCAAAATCCAAGATGGCCACTTCCAAAAGATGTCATCATCATGTTTCTATACATCGATGACATTGTGCTCTGCGGTCGACCAATCACACCTGAGATTCACCCAGGTGGAGCAGGGGGCAGCTCCGTCAGTGCACGAGTGGCAGTTTGGGTGTCTTGCTCAAGGACACCATGACATGTTGGCATGGCGAGGAGTTGAACCTGTGACTTTCTGATCCAAAGCCGGCTGCCCTACTATTGCACCACAAAGATTAATCTATGGGGGTCAAGGTCACCATTGGTCACCACCTGGTTCTGCCATTGCACCTGGTGGTGAATTAAAAAATATCTGGTTTAATAAACATAAAAACATTTAGGTTTATTTCATTTCCTGCAAAAACACTCTTCAGGAAAACGACAAACATTCGCTCTTCAGATCCCTCAGTTTTCACGTTGGTTCCTGCCGTGTTATTAAAAATAACCCCTATTATTTCACATTATTTCTTTAGTCACCCCCGACTGATCGGCTGTTTGTTTTTCAGGTTAATGAAGGTTTGAATCAAACTCCGAACTCAATCATTAGATAAACATCTGACTTTTAACATCAGCCGGACTCCAGATGACCCCCACAGATAATCAGAAGAATACCCGAGTGTCAGTTTTACAGATATTGAGTTAAAGCTGACGCAGTATTGGCTCAGAGTCATCCAGAACATGTAACATTACTATTATGACTATTACTGTTGTTATTATTATGACTATTATCATTATTACTATTGTTATTATGGCTATTATTATTATTACTATTATTATTATGACTATTACTATTATTATCATTATTACTGTTGTTATTATTATCATTATTACTATTGTTATGACTATTATTATTATTATT